CTCTCTCTGTCTCAAAAATAAATAAAAACATTAAAGAAAAAAAATTAAAAAAAAATTTTTTTAAATATTAAGCCAAGGTCCTATTCCTGCAATAAGGCCCGCACAGTCATAATGCATCCTCGATTTATATATTGTTGGATTTGGTTCAGTATTAAGAATTTTGCATCTATTTTCGTGAGGAATATTGTGCTATAATTTTCTTTTTAGTATTGCATTGTTGGTCTTGGTATCAGAGTAATACTGACCTCTTAAATGTTTTTGGAAGTGTTCCTTATTTTTCTGAAAGGAAAATTTCCACATTTCGGCTATTGTGAATAATGCTGCTGCAAACACGGGCGTACAAATACCTCTTCAAGAATCTGCTTTCAATTCTTTTCAAAACATACCCAGAAGCGGAATTACTGGGCCAAATTTACTTCTATTTTTAATTTTTTGAGGAATCTCCGTATTGTCCACAGTGGCTGTACCATTTTACACTCCCACCCAAAGTGCGCAAGCGTTCCAATTTCTCCTTGCCAACATTTGTTTTCTGGTTTTTGGATAATTGCCATCCTCTTATTATTGGCATGGTATATACTTTTTCCGATTCTACTTTTAACCTTTTGTCTTTTTATTTAACGTGTCTCTTGCAATTACCGTATGCTTGAACCTTGCTGCTTTGTCCAGTCTGATGATCTTTTAATTGGTCCTTCGTGATTACATTTTAATGTGATTATTGATATGGTTGGATTTCAGTCAGCTATCTTGCTGTTTTCTATTGTGCCATATGCTCTTTGTTCATTTTTTTCCTTCCTGCCTGTCTTTTTTCAGATTAATCAAGCATTATTTAGGATTATTTTTTATTACCTTTTTTTGGCTTCTTGGTTATAGCTTTTGATTTAAAAGAAATTGTTTGGTATAGAGCAATGCTCTCAGTGAGAAGTTCACAGTTCTTATCATGGTTGGTTTACAAGGACTCATGACCTCAGCCCTGCCTCTATCTCCAACGTTTCACCCAAACCCCGCAAGCTCCAGCCATGTTAGATTTCTTCCCGTTTATTAATGTTCCACGTTGACCCTGACCTTCAAGGCCCTATCAAACACTTCCATCTGCTTCCACCATTCCACCCTCTCACTATCTAGCTAGGACTTATCCTTCAGAACTCAGCCATCACTTCCTAAGTGTTCATAGCAATTTTATGCGTGTGTAGGGCTTCCTATGTGGGGCCAACGCATGTGCTGGGGTTGGCGGTGAACCTCCCTGCTGCATGCTTCCATGGCACTGGGTAACCTCGTTCTTAATAGTCGTCATATTTGTATGTCTGCCTTCCCAATCGACCACGCAGGCCCACTGTTAGTTTTGCTCATCATTGTACTCCAGTACGTTGCAGAGACCTGGCACAAAACAGGCATTCAATAAGAGTACTTATCAGAATTAAATAGAATATGACTTAAATGGGGAGAACTGGCTTGTTTTACAGAACATAACACAGAGGACCAACAAAGTCAGGAGAACCGCTTAAGGTCACAAGGGTAGTGGCAAGGCCAAAGAGAAGACCAGAAGTGGAGTGGGCAGAAGACAGCTCAGTCTTTCCAGCCATACTTGTGTTGAGTTAGCCTGCCGATTTCATGAGAAAGATTTTTCCTACTCAAGGCTCTGCGCAGGCTGAGGCCTAGGTAGCTTCACTCACTGCCCAAGCACCGGAACGTCTAGGGTCCACGGCGGAGTTCAACAAATATTCCATGGAACGCCCGTAAAACAAACAAAATAACTCTCACAGGGGAAGGATGTTTTGAGGATGGCCTCGCCTTAACCTGGAAAGGCTGTTCCATGGGTGCAAACAGGCAGACATTTGCCAAGTAACCTCCGTGACTCTAAGTGCTTCAAAATCGGGAAACTGAGGCCGGGAGGCAGAGGGAGGGGCGTCTCTGCTTCGGCCGCGCCCCGGCGGGGGTCGGCACCGGGAGGGGCGGGGGCGGGGAAGGCGTCCCGGTGCGCCCGCTACACGGAAGCCGGGCGCCGGAGGGCGGGTCCGGGCGGAGGAAGAGGCCCCGGGGCGCACGGCTCCGCCGCGCCAGCGCCCGCCTCCCTAGCGCGGCTCCGGGGCTGCGGTCCCGCCTTGCAGGGCAGCCCTCCACGCGGGCTCGGGGATCGTCCGCAGGTGTCCACGCCTCCGTCTCGCAGCCCCGGGCCGGCTCAAGCGTCCTCGTCCCGGAAGCTCCGCCGTCTCGTCTCGCGAGGCTCCGCCGCCCGCCCAGGCCTCGGCCGTCCCACCGCGGCCTCCGCCCCTGGCGCAACGCGGAGGCCAGGTGGCGCGACGGCCGGAGCCGCGACCCTGCGCTCCCGCTCGGCCTCCGCCCGCGCCGCCCGTCCGCCGGCCTGCGCTGTCCGTGGGAGCGAGGTGAGCGCCCGGCAGAGCCCGGCCACTTGGGGAGGGGAGGCGCTGCGTGGAGCAGTGTTTAACCGCGGGAGCCCCCTGGGGTTCAGGGCCGCTGGCCGTCACCCGTCACTTGGCGTGCGGGCTGGCTTCAGGACTGGGAGACTGCGTGCGAGGAGCTGTAATAACACTTCACTGAACTGCAGCCATGAGCCGGGCTTTGTTCTAAGCGCTTTATCTACTTCTAGCCCCGCTGCTGCCCTGCTCGGCAGGTGAGGAAACTGCCTTACAAAGTGGAGGAGCTCACACCCGCTGGCAGGAGGTGACTGCCCTCCCTGGCACCTGCGCTTCCCTCCCTCTGGTGTGAAGACCGGCCCCTGGAGCTCTGCCCGGGTGCCTGCCTACACGCGGGAGACCCCCAGGCGTCCTTCCTTTAGTCCCCACCCATCATCCGCTCGAGACCACCAAATAATCTGTCCTTTACCCCAGCTGTCGTCAACCACCACAAGACCCCTGGGACTCCCCACTCTTTCTGCCTTTTTTGTTGTTGTTGTTTAAGTTTATTATTTACTTGGGGGGGGGGCAGAGAGCGAGGGAGACAGAGACTCCCAAGCAGGCTCCACACTGTCAGCACGGAACCCACCAACCCTGAGATCATGACCTGAGCCAAATCAAGAGTCGGACACTTAACAGACTGAGCCACTCAGGTGCCCCCAGGCTCCTTCTGCTTTAAGTCAGAAAATTTTAACCTGATTTTTGGAAATCGAGGTCAGCAAGGATAGAAAAAGAACGTTGGTGACCCTTGGGCTGCAGAATGAACTCCCATAAGCTGTTGTCAAGTACAACCCCTGACACTGAATAGATCCTTAACAGAATTTACTTGTTGAAGGCTTTGCCCACACGGTTACAACCAGTAAGGGACACGGGAAGCGGGGAATGTATAAATGTAAAGGAAGGGGCAGATGGAGAATGGGAAGGATCTCGACTCCTAGTTCATTTCCCCTGCTACGAAAAGCCCTCGAACAGGTGCTCAATGCTTTCAAATGCTTTTGTCTTCTTTGCAGATGTTCGCTCTGCCTCAGAAGGAATCCAAGGCACCTACCACCTGTCCAGGCCCAGCCTCCACACAGGACCTGGACAGTAACCATGGGGATGGTCTGGAAAGAGAATGCTCTAGAAAACCAGACTGGAAGCTTCCAGAGTTCTGTGGAGTGGGTGATCCTACCGCCACAGCGTCCTCTGACAGCTCCCACCTGTCCTCTAGAGGAAGCATCATTAAATGGTTCTGGGACTCAGCTGAGGAGGGCTACCGGACCTACCACATGGACGAGTATGATGAGGATAAGAACCCCAGTGTGAGTGAAATCCCTGTTCCCGCTGGAACCCAAGGTGGGATACTCTACCTTGACCACTAGGCAGGCGCCCAGCTTGCTCTTGTCAGGTTGGAGTTACAGTCCTCTGACCTCCAAGAAGGCTTCTGCTGTAGCTTAGAGAGTCCCCGGTTCGTTGTCTGGATCAGAAAACGGCCCGTTAATGATTGAGGGGACCCTGATTTGTGAGGGAGGAATTCAAGAATCATGGAGAACTCCCCTGTGGATTCTGACCACAGCCCATCGACCATGCAACTTGAGAGCTGGGACACGACTAGAGGTCAGGCTGCAGCCGTCTCACTTAGGGGTTGTGTATTCTTGAACTAATTTATTTAATTTCTTCGAACCTCAGTTCCCCTCTAAGTTGAGATGACGATGTCTGTTCTATAGCAGAGTCACAATTAAATATGAGGTATGTTACTAGCACAGCACTACTGAATAGAGCATCCAGTACATGGTAGCTGCCATTATTACTATTCTCTGTCCCAATGAACCTGTTTCTGATAATACCTTCAGAGGGCAGAGAGCTGTCACAAATAATCCTGTAATAATCTCTGTTAAGCATCTAATCAGGGGCAGGGCACTAAGTCCAGCACACACTCAAGGCTTCTAATGAACAGAACATGGGGGTGTCACATCCTGCAAGAATCGGTCATAAAGTCTGTGGCTCCCCTCTTGGGTACTCACGGTGTCTCGTCCTCTTTCTTGGACCTCCTGCCCTGGGGGAGGCCAGCTGCCCTTTCACGAGGCAGTGCTGTGGGGAATCCCGTGTGGCGAGGGACTGAGGCCTGCCAACAACCGTGTGAACGAGTCTGGAGGTGGATCCTTCCCCCAACAGAAGATCCTTTCTAGATGGGGTTCTGGGTGGGGGGCTTCCTGGAGGAGATGGCATTTGAATGGAGCTTTAGAAATGGGAAGACGGGACCAGGGAGCTGAGTGAAGGTAGGGCTCGAACAAGGGCAAGGAAGGGTGTTTGGAAGGGCAGGTTCACTCCGGCTTTGCTTTGCTGCCTCCGTGGGCTCCTCGGGCCTTCTTTTGGGACCCCTCGGCTCTGTTGACCCTGCCTCCGTATGTCTGTCTCCAGGGCATCATTAACATGGGCACCAGCGAGAACAAACTCTGCTTTGACCTGCTGTCCAGGCGGGTAAGTCCCGGTGCTCCTCTGGGTGGTATCACCAGTTCCCAGGGAACTGTCCTCTCTTGGACTTCCCCCGAATGCTTCCCTGACAAGAGCCTGCTGCTCACCTGAGGTCAGGAGACCCGGGTTCCACATCTGCCTCGGGGGCAACTTTCTCTGTGATCTTGGGCAAGTCACTTCCCTGTTCTGACCCTGCTTCTTGAAGACCTCCTCCCCATACTTGGTGCCTCCTGCTGGCTGGGTCCCTACTCTGAGTGGGGAGCACTCAGCAAGGTGAGGTCAGTATTTAGCACCTGGCTCTGGGGTAAGGAGGACTCTGATTTGTGGCTTTTGCCAATTCCCATAGTGTAAATACTCCCACCGTGGCTGGTTTCAAGGTACGGATGTGACATCCCTGCAGACAACTTGGGAAAAGCGGTGTTAGAGGCACCCATGAGGTAGTGTCCCCACTGTCTAGACACATAGATGGAAGTAGCCTCGAGGGCACACATAAAAATGTAGTAACATAACCAGAAACGGTGATGTTTAAGTTATTACCTTGGTTTTTAATGCACTTTACTTATTTATACGTTTATATAATTTAATTTTTTTAAATGACTTTTTTTTTTTTTTTTAACACAGCTTGTAAAATTCCTGGAAACTTAATTAAGCAGATTTCTTGAGCTGGTATGAGCCCTCTCTAGCAAACCGCTGGAAATACCTGGGAAATGTGTCTCCCAAAGCCACGGAGTCAGAGTTGGGGATTGTAGAGAGAGTGACGTCTAACCCAAAAGAACTTCTTTCCAGAGGTGACAAATCCAACACCTAAGGGAAGAGGAATGTAGGGAATGGGTTCAAAAGGCGCGTTCTCTCTGACTCCAGGTCCCCGCTGCACTGTCCAAAACAAATAAAATGTGAGCCACATATATAATTGAAACTTTTCTATTAGATAAGTAAAAAGAAACTGGTAGATTCATCTTAATAACATATTTAGCCCATTATATTAAAAAACAGGACCATTTCAACATGTAATCAATAGAAAAAAATGAGAATATTTTTCATAATGTTTTTTTTTAAATTTTTTTTTTAATGTTTATTTATTTTTGAGATAGAGACAGAGCATGAACGGGGGAGGGTCAGAGAGAGAGGGAGACACAGAATCTGAAACAGGCTCCAGGCTCTGAGCTGTCAGAACAGAGCCCGACGCGGGGCTGGAACTCACGGACCGCGAGATCGTGACCTGGCTGAAGTCGGACGCT